AGCCAGGATGGTCTCGATCTCCTGACCTCGTGATCCACCCGTCTCGGCCTCCCAAAGTGCTGGGATTACAGGCTTGAGCCACCGCGCCCGGCCTCGACATAGAGTCTTGATCACTGTTATGAGATTCTCCGAGACTGTGGGGACCCCAAGGAGCTGACAGATGTCACGTGGGGTGGGAGGCTCCGGTTGCACCAGCCCCACCTTCCAGCTAGAGAGGCTCCTTCCTTAGCTACTGTGGGTCAATGCCTCTGCGGTTTCACGGTGTTCTCTGTGGAGAGGATCTCCGCCCCCACTCACCCACTACGGTAGGCTCCAGATCTATCATGACGGCCCGGGGCACGTGCTTCCCATTGCCAGTCTCGCTGAAAAAGGTGGTGAAGGAGTCATCATCATTGATCTTGCTGGCTTGAGCATCAAAAGTGCCATCTGCCTGGATGCCGTGTTCCAGGCAGAAGAGCTCCCAGCAGGCATTGCCAATCTGAACTCCTGCTTGGCCCACGTGGACTGATATGCATTCCCGCTGTGGGGAGAGGGAAGCATCGAGGTCAGAGAGTCCAGGCCCCCAGCATGCCTTTGCCCTACACCCCCGTAACATTCACCTTGCAGGCCAGCCCGGCCCCAGCCCCGCACTGCCAGCTGGCGTTGAGGCTGCAGGTGCCCCAGCTCTAGAGCAGCTGGACCAGGACTTAGATCCAAAGAAGACACAGCTGTTTTGTGCTTTGCTCTGAAGGTTGCCTCCCAGGGTTAACCTTTTACACCAGGAAAGAAAAACAGAGGGCGGTTGCAAAGATGAAGCAAGGGGCTAATTCCAAACCACAAGACTCCTGCACTGGTGAAGAAGGCCCAAAGAAGAACTGGTGATCATGGCAGAAACTCCTTCAACCTACTCCCACGCAAGCCAGCATTCATAGCCACTCCTGACCCTGACTTTCTGAGCACTGCGCACACATGCGCACATACACGCACACACAGTCTCAGGGTATCACAGAGCGAATGAGCACTCATGAAAGGAACACGCTCTGGAAGTATATGCCATGGCTGTCAGTAGTATCATGGTTACCAGTGTAGAAGTAAAGGATTATTTGTTATCCCAAGAGAAGATTGGGAGGGTATAAATTAGGCTCCTCCTGCATGCCGAACAATTGGAAAATCTTTGCAGCCTCAAAGCCTGCCCCTTACCTATGCCAGGCCAAGTGTCAAGGAAAGCTGACCCCGGAGTGTCCTTAGCTCTGCCTTGCTCTGATGTGAAGCCACAAGTGCCTGATTGGTATTTGTACTAACAGCTTAAGATGGGGAGTGCGCTGACGGGAATGTAAATTGGTTCAGCCATCGTGGAAAACAGCTTGGAGATTTCTCAAAGAACTTAGAACTACCATTTCACTCAGCAATCCTGTTACCGGGTATACATCCAAAAGAAAATCGTCCTACCAAAAAGACACGTGCACTCACACATTCATCACAGCACTCTTCACAACAGCAAAGACACAGAACCAACCAGGTGCCCAGCAACGGTGGGCTGGATACAGAAAATGTGGTACATATACACCATGGAATACTACGCAGCCCCCAAAAAAGAATGAAATCATATCCTTTGCAGCAACATGGATGCAGCTGGAGGTTATTATCCTATGCAAATTAATGCAGGAATAGAAAACCAAATACCACATGTTCTTATAAGTGGGAGCTAAACATGGGGTACTCATGGACAGAAAAATGGCAACAGTAGACATTGGGGACTACTAGAGTGGGGAAGGAAGGAGGGGGCAAGGATTGGAAAACTAACTATTGGGTACTATGCTCACTACCTGGATGTCGGGATTAATTGTACCCCAAACCTTGGCATCACGATATATACCAGTGTAACAAATCTGCACATGTACTCTCTGAATCTAAAGTAAAAGTTGAAATGATTAAAGAAAAAAGGGGGTGGGGAGAGTGTGTGTGTGTGTGTGTGTGTGCACGCACGCGTAGGGATGATAGACTCATCGTCCCACCCACACCTTGCCCTGGGGAAGCAGTGGCCCACACAAGGTGGCACTGTGCCTGGGGCAGCTGCCTGAGCCCAACAGGAAGCATGTGCCAGGTCTGTGGGTTTCTATTATTATCTATGACCTGCCCTGGCATTTTCCAGCTCCAGGTAACCCAAGCCAGGGGCAGAGCCTCCAGAGGGCACGGCTGGGCACAGAAGCCAGTAGAGTCCACGTCAAAGTGTGGGGCTCCTGGGGACGTGGAAGAATTTCTGGGCATGGAGAGCAGGGCAGCTGCCTTGAGTAGCATCTTGAGGGGTCAGAGTGTCAGGACCATTGCCCCCTAGTTCAATTTTACAACTGTGCCCCCACCCTAGTCCTGCCTCTGTGCTGGAGCTGAGCGACACCTGGTCCTTGCCTTGAGGGAGGATGAGCACGGGGCAGCCCGATACGGGGGGAAGTCCGACGGGGGACGCAACCCGCTGGATCTCCGTAAGCCTGGTGGCTAGGGAGAGGCTTTACCCACAGAGCGGCCCACGCCCCAGGTTCACATCTGGCCTTCTCAGTTTACTTTCTGTGCTGCATGGCCTGGGCTGAGTTACTGAACCTGTCCTCATCTGAAAAGTATAAGTTAGCCAGAGTTGTTGATGCTGTCTTGCCATTATCATTTTCATTACGGTACCACCTGGTAGCATTTTTCTCCACCGGGAAGCAGCACACATAGAAAGAGCTCTCGGGTCCCTGCTCGTCTCTCCTTTATTGTGGGGTCTATTCTCTGCCTCCATCTGAGGGTTCAATTCAGACCTAAGGAAAGCAGCGTCTGCATCCAGAAGCCACCAACAACCAGCGAGTTATCCACCCAGACCACGGCGTCACATTCAGCACGTGGCTGTGGCTTCCCAGGGAGGTGTGGAAGCTGAGGGGACACTGGAGAGGCCCGAGGGGGGCCCGGTCCTATATATTATCCTTCTAAGTGACAGTATCCTCTGTGGTCCTAACCCTCGGCCTTCTGGGTCTGTCGCCCCGTCACCACCACCACATCCCGACCACCCTCTAGTCCTGCCTACGGTGCTGCCCGGCCCCCAGCCTGCTCTCACTTCTGGAACATTCTGGGGCTTTCCAGGGAGGATGCAGGGATATTTTAGGAAAATCAAAGATCATGGGAGGAAGAGTCAAGGATCTGGGGAACTGAAAACCACTAGCATGACGACAACGTTTTTAGCCTCTTTTAATGCCCTCTTTAATCTCACACTAATACATATGCCAGTCTTTACAAAATGTCTGTCTCTTTTTCTCTCCCCTGCCCCCGTCATGCGCGCGCGCACACACACACACACACACACCCCTTAGAAAGAGCTATTTTCCCTATTGAACTCGCTCGTAAGAATAATGGGAGGCATAAAATAGACTCAGAAATGACTGACAGATTCATAGGTGCTCCCAAAAGCGAAAAGTAGCTACAGCAATCAAGAGAGAAGGAAGGTCCCTGCTAACAGGGTCCTTGGAGAGAGGGAGGCGTCCAGGTCCGGGGTGGGGAGTGTGCTAGATAAGCCTGGAATGTGGCATAGCGCCTGGAGGCACGGAGGCTAACCCAGGCGCTGCCCGAGCACCTGAAGAGGCTCCCGTTGCCTAAGACAGACAACCTGAGCCTCACAAGGAGTGATGGCAGCATTTGAGTGAAGCAGGATGCACAGATGAAAATCTGCAAGTCCTCAAAGAAAACCCCCAGAGAAAAACTCATTTGTCCCTATCCAGACAGTCCCGTTAGTTAGGGAAGGCTCTTTTTGTTTTCTTTTCTTTTTTTTTTTTTTCTTTGGAGATGGAGTCTCGCTCTGTCGCCCAGGCTGGAGTGCAGTGATGCAGTCTTGGCTCACTGCAAGCTCCGACTACCGGATTCACACCATTCTCCTGCCTCAGCCTCCCGAGTAGCTGGGACTACAGGCACCCGCCACCATGCCCAGCTAATTTTTTGTATTTTTAGTAGAGATGAGGTTTCACTGTGTTAGCCAGGATAGAGAAGGCTCTTTTTCTTTAATCGAAGAATGTCTGCTAAGCCATGTGGACCAAATAATAGATTATGCAATATTGCCCTATTTCATCTTCTAATTACGTGATTGATTTGGACAAGAATGCCAGCATCATTAGGTGAAAGACTGATGGGAACTGAATCTTCGCCTAGAGCCAAAGAATCACTGTTACAGTCACAAGGGGGAAACTAAGTCCCAGGGTCTCCAGCCTAAGACTGCGATCAACCTCAGCATCGCTAATTGTGGGCCACCCCGACATTGAGGACCTCCTGATGGGACTCAGTGTGACACGCACCACCTGTGAGGACTTCATCTCAAAAACACTCAGCTTTCATCACTGAGCCTGGTAGATTCACCTTCCACTTCACAGGCAACAGGGATTAGAGGGTTAAGTTTAGTGACATCAGAGAAAACAAAATCAATCCAGAAGGTGGAACATCCTACAGGGCAGCTAGTCCAGGTTTTTTTTTTTTTTCTTTTTTTGGAGACGGAGTCTTGCTCCAGGCTGGAGTGCAGTGGCATGATCTTGGCCCACTGCAAGCTCCACCTCCTGGGTTCAGGCCATTCTCCTGCCTCAGCCTTCCAAGTTGCTGGGACTACAGGCGCCTGCCACCATGCCCAGCTAATTTTTTGTATTTTCAGTAGGGACGGGGTTTCACCATGTTAGCCAGGATGGTCTCGATCTCCTGACCTCATGATCCGCCCGCCTCAGCCTCCCAAAGTGCTGGGATTACAGGCGTGAGCCACCGTGCCCGGCCCAGCCTTTTCAGCTCATGAGAAATGAAGAGCTGGGAGGGGCTGTTCCGTATCAAAGGAACTAAAGCACCACCACCACACACGTCATGGAGACTCTGACTGAATTCTCATTTGAACAAATCAAAGTATTTGGGGAACAAATAAATTGATTTGCTTTGTTCAGTGTATTCATACAATTGTGGTTAAGTATGAAAACATCCTTATTTTTTAGAGTTGCATCCGAAGAATTTAGGGGTAAAATGTCCTGATGTCTGTACTTTAAAATCCTTTCCAAACACAGCAGATAACAGATGGAAAAATCATTCTTCTTAAATCTACATAATAGGTATATGGGTGGCACATTACTCTACTTTTCTGAAAGTCTGAAATTTTTCATAGTAAAAAGCAAAAATCATCAAAACAAAGGAGACAGAGAAAAAATAGGAGCAGGGACTGCCTCTCCAGAACCCCCTTACCCTGGGCAATTGCACGCAGTCACTTACTCAAACAATATTGACTATGTGCCTACTGTGTCAGGGCTTTGAAGTTCCAGGAAGAAATCACAAGTGAAATTCAAAGTTGCATGAGGCTTCATGGCACTGTGAGGTCCATGCCCAGCCGCAGCACTCTGCAGGCCTCTTGCACCCGCTCCTAGCAGGGACGGGGAGCAGCCCACAGCTCCGGCATCGAGCTCCCAGCTCAGGCACTGAGCTCGACTCCTGCAGCCATGCTGTCTCATCACCCTACCCAGCCTTTGGCCTGGAAGTTCCACAGAGCGGACCCAGTGCTGA